AAGGATGACTGTGGTAATGTGTGGTTTGTGTCTGGTTGTCCCCTGAAGCCTCATGCACTCACAGGTGGGCTTTTTGGAGGTGGCCGGACCACGGGGTGCTATACCCAGCAGTGGGTGAGTCCCCTGGTGAGTTCATAGCTGAGTGTGAGGTTGGGGAGTGGAACCTGGGGAGGAGCTGCCCCCAGGGGTGTGGCCTGGCAGGTCTGGCTCCCTCCTTGGTCCCTGCCACTTCCTCCTGCATGCCATAAGCAGCCTTCTCTGTCAGGCTCCTCCACCAATCCACCCTGCTCAGAGCCAGCTGTGGACTGAAACCTCCACATACTGAGCTAGATCAAGCCCTCTTCTAAACTGGGTGTTGGGTGCTGTGTCTCACTGACAAGAAAGTGACTATGATGACTGTCAGTAACATTACTGGGTTCTGGGGTGCTGGGGTCTCTGTCTGTTGGTGGTTACTAGGTTCTTTTTGTCCTGGATAAAGACTTTGTCAAGACAAGCACAAAAGGTAGTGAAGTTTTACATTTATTAAAGGTAGGAAAAGAAAAGAAACCTGCTCTGCAGAGCAAGTGTGGGCCAGCTAAAAGCAGAAGAAGTAGACTCTATGGGTGGGAGCGGATGACTGTGAGAGGGAGCACAGTGGCCATGAGAAAACGGCAGCCACCTTTTGTAGTGCCACCCCTCAGCCAACGTCAGGTCTAGGCCATCCTACCAACACCTGCTTGGGTTCCTGGGAGGAGAATTAAAGGCAGCACACGGACTGCACCTCTGACACCATCGCTGGTGAGCATGGGTCCTTGCTTTAGGACAAATGGAAATGAAAACTAGGCACACGTTTAGGAAAGAATAGCTGCCATGGGGACCTAGAGGAAGACAGGAAGGGACTCCAGCTCAGGTGGCAGGAGGGGTGGCTCTGAGGCAGGGGTGCAGTCGCCCCCCACAGAGGCAGAGGCCCGCTCTCCTGGGTCGCTGGTGGCGGGGCCGGCTGATGGTCATCTCAGTCCTGATGCCACAGCTCAGGAGTCCTCATGGCTGAGGGCTGGTCTCCTCCCCAGGAACGGACATCTCTCTCGTCTGTGGGGGTCTCAGTCATGCGGGCTCCGCCCTGCCTGGACCCCAGGTGCTCACAGGTTCGGGACAGGGGTGGAGGCCTCGGGCATGGCTGATGTCCCTGGGAATTGTCCATCCTGGTGGCCTCAGGCTTGAAGGGGTGAGAGTACATAAATTCAGGGGTCATCCACCTGGTTTTGACAATTTTCAGACAGACTCTGCCTACATGATTAAAGTACTACCTGCAGGGCCGAGAAGGAATGCAGGCCATGGTATACAGTAAGTGAAGGCCAAGCTTTGTTCCCCATCTGGCTACCTACCTGTAGGCCCAAGTGAAGAGCCACGGTCCACAGCAAAGCTGGCTTTTAATTTCTTAACTGTCCCAGAAGAAAATCCTGCTTGTAATGAGCAGCAGGTGGGGCCTGAACCCTGCTTGACTCCCAGCCCTCTGGTGTCCAACTGTGTCATGATTGTGTGGAAACTGAGCCAAGACTTACCTCTCCTCTGAGGAAGTGGACTAGCGTAGGCGTTTTGTACCAGCAAGGAAAAGCTCACCACCGCTCTGCCCTTGACTCTCCAGTCTGGAGATCTGGCCCAGCACACGCCCTGTGGGGCCTCCAGCTCCTCCTCGAGGATTCTCCACACACCCTCTTGTGCCTGTGGACCAGCTCCTCCCTGAACCCTGTGCCAGTTTCCAAGTGGGGCTGACCTACAGCAGGGAAAGGATTTGAACTATAGAAAAGTAATAATTGCTCACAGTAGAGAGATAAACAGTGAGATTGGACTTAGAATTCTACCCAGAGAAAAGATGTCAACACAGAAGGCCTCCTTCCACTCGCATCTTCTTAAGTGAGCACATGGTTTCAGAAGTATCAGCTGCAGGCTGAGCGCCCTTAGTCCAGGGCCAGGAGAGGGAGGTCCACACCCTCCAGCTTTCCAGGGCATTCCCAGGGAGAGCCAATGACTCTAAGAGCAAGGCCAGGGGTGAGATGCAGCCAGGATGAGGGAGGGGAGGGTGTGAGATACTAGCTGCATTATTAATAAGATTGATCTGCATTAGGCCAGCCAGCAAAAGGAGGGATTCTGTCAGTAAGACAAATGGTCCTCCGTTCACCTTGAGCTCAGTATCGATAGAAGGGTGAATAGAGAGATTTTAGGAATCAGTGAAACTATCTCTAAACCCTTGAGGCAGTTGATTGGCAGAGGGTAAAGAAAACGCAAAACCCAATGTCAGCCTCTTATCACTGCAGAGGAGACCACTGCTGACCGGCTGCTCTGAGGGTCAGTTCTCAGGCCCAGCAGGGAGGGGCGCCTGAAAGTGTGTCAGGCTGCGCTGCTGTATCTATAGGGAGAGAACCGCTCATTCGTGTATTCTGAGTAGTCTAGCTCTTGTGTATGAATTCAGCATGATGGATTCTGCACCTTTAAAAAATACCCATCCTAGAATTCCTCTTGTGTAAGAAAAATGAAAATATTCCATCAGATGCTCTCCTGCTGAAATAAGCCCATGACGCAGGCTGGGGTGGGCGCTGGTGTCTGTCTTCTCCCCTACAAACTCCCGGGTCACTTCTAAGTTTAATACCCGTGAGTCCAGACATCAGCCTCATGGTCTTTCTGAACTGCAGTCACCCCCTAACGCCTAGCATTTCGGCTGAGCTAGGACAAAGCTGGACTCGTGTGTCACCGTGTGCGGTGCTCATGGCCCCTGGGACTCTCAGAAGAAGGTGGACACCTGACCAGCAGGGGCTTCAGGTAGGGAGGTGTGTGGCACCCTGCCCCACGTCTGTCTCCCACCATTGCCCATTTTTTCCTTTAACAGAAGGCTTTCTTGAACCTTTAGCATCCTGGGTACCGTTATAGGAACTAGAGCTATGGGTGAACAGACCGATAAGATTTCCCTCCCCACGAAGCCTGCATACCAGTAGGGAAGACAAATAGACAAATATGTGTCATTTAAACGTTATAAAAAATTAAAATAGGTAAAGTATAGGATTTGACTGGGGAAGATGGGAGAAGAGGAACAAATCAGGAAAGCTTTCTTTAAGAAAATTGGCCTGTATAGATGACTGAACAAAGTGGGGAGCAAGCCACATGCTGTCTGTGGGCTGAATATCCCAGGCAGAGGGTAAAGCAAGTGCAAAGGCCCTGGGGTGGCCACTGGCTTGGTGTTTCCAAGGAGTAGCAGGATCATTGTGTCTGGCAAAGAAGATTGAGCTGGGCAGGGGAAGGAGGCGAGGGGGAGATGTCACGGTAAGGACTCCACCCCAAAGGACCATGTGGCTCCAGAATCTGGGTCTTACTCAGAACACATGGGTGCCCCAGAGGGCTGGGGATTTGTCTTTCAAAGATGTCTCCCTGTGTAGCGAGTCAGGCACAGCACAGGGAGCTGCAGGCTCAGTGGGGAGAAGAGGCTCAGGCTGCACTGCAGCAGGAGCCCAGGACTTGCTAATGCTGGACCAGGAGGCGGAGCTGAGCCAGGGGGCACAGAGACCCTGTCTTGAGAAATCTCGTGGCCAGGGGAAGCCTGAGCGAGGGGCCTTGGGTAGGAGATCAACAGTGGCCTTCTGAAGGCTTAACTGTGAGCCATGGCAGCCGTGGCTGTGTGGGTGTGTCGCTGAGAGGCGCAGCGGAGGTGGCTGTGTGGGTAACTGTGAGGCGCACAGCAGATGCGGCTGTGTGTGTGTGAAGGGGCACTTCTGCACGCAAGTCTGGACTTCAGGTGCATCCCGGGAGCCTGCAGGATGGAGATCCAGTCTGAAGCCGTGGGCCCAGGTGCAGTCAGTTAGGGTGGAAGTCATGGGCAGGAAAATGAGGACGGAAGCCAGGAAATGTATTTGAAGGTGAGGTCCTTAAAGATGCCATTCTGCTACACTGAGGCTGTCTGTGGTTGGTGCGACAGTGTGACCAGGTCCTCACACGCAGAGGGAATCTGAGCAGCGGTCTGCACATGTGGAGGCCGTGTCCCTGGACTGGCCCCCAGAAGTCGCTGAGCCCAGCCTGCTCAGAGGCCGGGGCTGCAGGTTCGCTGACTCCCATGTGGATACTTCAGATGCATCAGGCAGACATAGGCAGAAACTTGAAGCACACACTCAGAGGAGCAGAGCACAGGCTCTCGGGAGAGGGCGCAGTATGATCTGGAGTGGGTATACTTAGGAAGCTTGGGTGTCTCCGAGACAGGCAATGAGGGTGAGTGCCCCACTGTGTCTCATCGCCTGGCTGGTGGCTGTCGCAGTACAGACCAACCCCAGCAGAGTCAAGCGAGATCCGCTGTCCACTCAGATTGCAGCTTCCTTGAGGGCAGAGTCTATGGGGGGAGGTGTAATTTACAGTGAAGAACACAGGTACCGAGCTGACTTCCAGGCTCATTGTGTTGAGACCCTCGCCTCGCTCCTTGCTGGCTGCTGCTGGAGCCATCGCACCTGTCCATGGGACCAGGAACCGTCCAGCGTGCACCCGGCACTGCTGGGGAGAGCTCTGCATCCACTCAGATGGGGCGGTCCGACTTCCCCTCCAGTGCCCCTCCACCTTGGCACCAGAGTTCTTCCACTGTCACACAGCCGTCCTGCGGAAGAGGCAAGTTCCTGGAGACTGTTAGCCTGTGGCTGCAGCTTCACAACCCCTCCCGCTCGGAAACTGCCTGGAATCACGGTGGCTCCCACGGTGGCGCTTACTTATAACCCAGTTCTGCCATCACCCTCGGGCCCAGAGGCGGTGCCCCTCCCTAGTCTAGGTGTCCTCTAAAGCATTGTCCCAAGCAGCACAGGGAGGCGGGCAGCTGTCCCTGTGGCAAAGCCTGGGGGAGCCACAGTGTTCTGTCAGAACACACGAAGCAGGATAGTGAGTTACCTGGTTCAGTGTTGACTGTGCCTTCATTTGGAGAAGGGACTGGAGCTCAGAGCGGTCCAGGGCAGGAGCAAAGGATGGGAACCCCAGAATCAGCTGCCTCTGCCACATCATGGGAAGAAGGCTAAGGTGAGAGCCGTAACTTGGTAAAATGCCCTTGTGTGGGAGAAGTTAACTAATGGCAACTGTATGGGAACATCAGTCTGTGACCCTCACCTGCACAGTTTCTGAGAAATAGTCAAAGAATTTGTGTGTTTCATTAATTTCTATTCTCAACGTCCAGAGCAGGTCAAAGCAGTGTGGTCAGAAACTCAGCTCCCCAAGTCTTACATGGTGTCTTAGTTACTTGTTCCATTGCTGAGACAAAATACCCAACACCCAGAGTTAGAGGAGGAAAGGTTTATTGTAGCTCACCATTTGTAGAGGCTTCAGTCCATATCTGGCTGACTCCGAGGCAGGGTGGCTTGGCAGAGGGCAGCCAAGCAGCAAAGTACTGAGGAAGTGCAAGTGACAAGCCACAGCAGCAGCCCTCTTTTTGTCCTTTGTACTCTATCCACTTTACCTGGGCATAGGGCAGGCAGCACTCACACCCAGGTAGGCGTCCATTATCCATGCCCAGAATGATGCCAAACTAATCAGTGGACTGATTTAACAATCCCACACCCTTGATCCCAGCACCACACACTCCAGATCCAGCCAGCTCTGAAAAGCACCCCTCCTGGGGGGTACATCTAGACAGGAGCCACAACACCCAGGTACCCAGTCAACCCTTGCTTAACTGAGACAGCGGTCGTCTGCATGAACAGCGACACAAAGCCCAGTGTCTGGCGCTCTTTTTGGCCCTGGTGTCCTGGCAGCACTGTGCCACCTGGACTGGGCTCGAGCACTCAGGAACAGTGGTGAAGACTTCCTGCACTTAGTCTCTTTGCCCCTTGCTAAGTCAGTTCCTCCAGGCCCCGCCCAGCGAGGGACCGGGAGCCTCGGGTTGGGCTTCATTACCCCAAGCTGGGGGCTGTGGACTCTCCAGGCTTTGATGCCTTATTGCTCTTCACACAGGGTCCTCTCAGCAAGGCTGGTTGCGTTCTTCATCGCTGTGTCTAATCAAACATGTCACACCTCCACAGAGGTAAATTGGGTTTATTGGAGAAGGGAAATTAAATTAAGTCTGTTTAGGAATTAATTGTGGCCATCTAGGGTTAATCTATCGTATTATTCCATTGAGGTCCATTGGCATCAGAATCCGATGACCCAGTTAAAAAAAATAACCTCATAGCTAGAAAGCAGGCATAGTGCCTGGGCAGCAAAAGCAGCAAAAAGAAAATGAAAATTTAAGAATGAAAAGGCAGGGATCCAAGGATACCTAGGGCGGGTGCACTCAGGAAGACAGTGTAGCAGCAAAACAAAGACACAAAACCCCTTGTTAGCACAGGCGGGAGGAGCCCTGGCTGGAGGGCTAGGGGTGCTTCATAGTTATTTAAATTAACGGAGAAGGGTGTGGCTGCGTTGTCAGCACAACTGAGGCCTTACCTGTGCAGAGCTGTGACCGCGGGAAGTCTCTCCCTGTGCAGGGGCGGGGTCGGCCCTCAGGGCCCCTGCGTACTGGCCCCGTGCAAGCCCTGGGACAGGGGACACGAGCAGGACCCGGTCCTGCGTCCAGGGTCACCGAGACCCTGATAAAAGAACCTGGGAGGTCTGGGTGGGGTGGGAGCAAGCGCAGGCTGAGCACCTCCAATCTGAAAACATGAAATCCAAAATGCAAAACCACTTTGAGTGCCGACCTGCCACAAGTGGAAAATTCCACAGCCTGGAGCTTTGTCTCCTGCTCGGAATCGTTAACAACGTGTTCTGTGGGAAACGCGAGTACATAGCGTGTGCACACTGCCCCTCCCCCATGGTTGTCTATGCATATGCAAATTTCTCAAATGAAAAACATCCCAAATCTCTAGCACTCCTGGTCCCAAGCTTTGGGGTTAGGGCTACTCCCCTGTAGTGAGTCCCAGAGGGAACTGCTGTGACCCCAGGGCTTCCCTCCTGGGACTTGGCAAAGTGGTGGGTTCAGAAGAGGGAGGTAAAACGCTTAAGTCAACTAGTGACCCTTGTTTTCCTGGTGTAACCATACTTAGTTCCCGCTCCAACTTCCACCAGCGCCCCCATTTGGTGGGCACATTTCACTCTCCAGTCTGTGAAGCGGCAGTTAACAGCCAGCAGCTGGGACTTTGGGATCGAAAAGGGCGGCCAGGGGCCAGGTGATCTGTGCAGAAGAAACCTAGGCTTTGACAGGGGTTTGTCCAAAAACGAAACTCTGCTGTTCACTTCTAGTCCGCTGACCCTTTCAGAAGCCTGTTTGGTGACGGTGTGTGTGAGTCTTCGTCTTCATCTCTCAGGGCTAGAGAGGCAGCAGATGGGGTCCGGGGTCACAGCAGAGAGCTCAGAGTCTGGCCTGGGTCAGCATTCACCAGCCACCTGCAGGTGAGGACGCCCACAAGGGAGAGGCCACGGAAACCCTTGTAATGCGTCACTCAGCTGGAAACCAGAGTGGCAGCCCAGGGAGGAGAGGAAGTCTAAGCGGACTATGTGTGAATTCCTTCACAACAAGAAAATGTCAAGAATCAGGCAGAAATTTTTTCTCAGCAGCATTTGGAACCAATAGATCCATGTATCATCTTAGTACCATAATAGGATTTCTTTTACAAAATCAACTATTAATATTTCCTTTGTAAAAAACAGAAAGAAGAGGATCCCAGTCTAACACACACCGAGGCCTTCAGTGATAGTCCAGGGGTAAAAGAATGAAGAAATCTGGACAAAGCCTGGGACCTCATAGCTGAAATGTTCAGGTAGGACCCGGGGCCTAAGGAACTGCCATGTATCTATGAATCAATTCTGGCTTCCTCCACCAGATTTTTTCCTTCCTCCCACTAAAACCGTGAGGATCATTAGTGAGTGCTGAAATTATTGGTTTTCTAGGAATTCAAACTGGGAAGATCAGCTAGGAGAGGAGCAAGCAGACTATTCGTGCAGCACATTTCAAATTCCAAGTTCCCCTTGCGTTCACCCTTTTAGGATAGTGAGAACTTCCTGTGGGTGGATTTGCTGAAGAGCAGGAGCCTCACTTACGGCAGGCACTTTCTTCGTACTCATTCACTCAACACAGGTTTGTAGGGTACCCAGCACACATTCAGGTGGCAGAAATTAGAGATGAGCGGGCATGGTTTCCATTCACAAAAAGTGCCTGTCTGGAAGAGTAGAGAGACACAGGCAGGTGGTTAGAAAAAAATGATAAACACAGCACAGCAGAAGCACACAGCTCGGGGCCACAGGCGGGTGAGAGGGCCAGCCAGGTGGACAGTGCCGGATCCGCATCCTGGGCAGGGAAGCTCCTGGCTGGTATTGGCAGCACAGGAAGTGGAGGTCTGAAGTCATGCTTGGGACCACATCTCAGAAATTTGTTTCTAGGACGTGGGACTCTGTGAAGGCAGAGGAATCATGAAGCGTTATCCAGAGCAACACAGGCAGGTGCCCTCTCTGACACGGTGAGCGTGGCTGAGCTTGAGGGTGGACAGAGGGCAGGTGAGAGGTGGAGAGGCCATGAGGACTCAGGCAGGCATTCAGAGGCAGGATGGGGAGGGTCTGCTTAGGGCAGCAGTAGGTGGGGCTGAGGGAAACAGGCTTTGGGGACTTTTAGGAGTAAAGGTCCAGCCCAGAGCCTCTGCTACAGATTTGCACCTGCTGTGTGACCAGAGGAGAGCTGAGCCCAAGGGCGACCTTCTGCCCTGGACGCCCCTAGGCTGGAGAATTCTGCTCCAAAGATCGCCAGCCTCTAAACACCACGGGTCTGAGCTCCTGGCAACCGTGCCTGTCCCTGCTTGATCCAGCGAGGGTGGACAGATGACTGCACGGCAGGCTGTCCAGCACCCAGGGCTGCCTGCTCTGCTGCTCCTGGGCCCTGGCTGCAGCTCCTCCATCTCACAGGCCTGGTCCCACACTTCTCACTGATCAAGCAGGGTGCGTGCAGCAGAAACCTCCACACCCGGATTTTTCTGCAAGTGCAAGTGGAGCAAGGGTCCTAACTAATTCACAAGTGTCCTAAGTCCTCCCAGCTGTCTTCCTTCTTCCATCTCTCCCAGGGACGCAAGCAGCAGCCTCTGGCACTCTTAAATGTTCATATTTTTAGGAGCTTTAGGAGCAAAGAAAACCCACAAGCATTCCTTTTTAAAATATCCCTGGCATCATTTTTCCCAAAGATGGCAAGTAATTACCACAATTTTAGAGAAAAATGTGTTCTAGTGAAAAGATGCTGTGTTTTGCCATGGCTGCGTAGGATCCGAGGGAGCTAGAGCTGAAATGTGGGTTTAGAGCCAATCTCTTTCCAAGCCGGAGAGCACGCGGAGTGATGCTGTAGTTCTCCTTGGCCGCCTCCGGGCAGACGTTGCCAGTCTGTCACTTGGGTCTTGTCTGTGAGCCCAGGGGTGGCCTCAAGGCCTCATCAGTGCGGTGCTTAAGTGGCTGCTGACTGGCGGTGCTGGCATGCAGGACGGAGCTGGGATCTGGTCTGGCAGTCACACAGGGCAGCTGAGAGGTGGAAATGGCTGTCACTACCTTGTCCGTGGGGTGTGATGCTCACTCCTGCTTCCTCCAGGTTCCTCACTGAGGTCAGCGTAAGTCTGTGCTCCAGACTCTCTTTCCCTCCTGGGTCTCCAGGGCTCTACGCCCCTAGACTCTCCATAGCTTTTTCTTTGAAAAGCCTAGCATCGACCTGCTTTCTGATTGCTGTCAATCTCTCTGGCCACAGCTGTGCCTCATGGTGGCTCAGCTCAGCCACAGACAGATGTGGGGCCCCAGGATGCTCTTGACAGCTTCACGTGCAGCCGGGGCCTGGGGCTGCCTGCCTGCTCTGGAGGAGCTTGAGAGCCCAGGACCTGCTAGTGATAGGGAGAGAGCGGGCTCGGGGGAGGGGAGAAGAGGGGAGGGGTGGAAATGGGAGGGGAGAGAAACAGCCACAGAGCAAGAGCTGATTGGAAGAGAAAGTGATGGTTTGATTTGTGATCCTGGGAGAGAAAGGTTTTATTCAACAGCAGACCTGCTGAAGCCCTGAGCATGAATAGCTTCCCTTTAGTTGGTGGCAGGGGAATGGCCACTGTGGAGGGTGACAGAGACCCAGAAGGTAGGATGGAAGTGTGCGATATCCAGGTCTGGCTTCGGGGCAGTTACTTCCAGGTACTGCCTTGTCTTCTTGGGTTTGTCTGGCGGGGCTGGCAGGCACTGTGCTGAGGCTGTCGTCCCCTCTGGTGACAGGTGCCGCTCACCCACAAGCCTGGTGGAGCAGGAGTTCTGAGGCCCCGCCTTGCTCCCAGTGCCTAGTGCCTGGTTTGTTCACAGGCCAGGGGGTCAATCTCCCCACCAGCACCTCAGGAAGAGGGATTTCCTTTTTTACTGCAGTTGTCTTTATTTTGTTTTGTCTTACATTTCTCCAGCTTTATTGAGGTATGATTGACAAAGAAAAATTGCCTATATTTAGGGTACACAAAGGAATGTTCCTATAAACGTACACACTGTGAAATGATTACCACCATGCAGCTAATTTGACCTGTCCATTGCCTCACTCAGTCATGCGTGTGTGGGGTGCTTCTCCGTCCACCTATCTGTGGGTGCACACAGAGGTTGCTTCTGCACAGGCTCCAGCCGCTCCCCCTTTCTGCTCTTTCCTGGGACCCTCCCAGATCTCAGAGCACGGGGTACACTCTGGAGGAACCACTGGGAGTCTGACTAAGTCCTTGCACCCAGATGCTGTTCTGAGATTCTGACTTACTTGACTCAGGGAAGCCTGAGTGTGGGGCTAGGAAAACCTCCCTGCAGTTGTTACGTGAAGTTCCCAAACTGCTGGGGACTTAGCGCTGCTGGGAGAACTGCCTCTTATACCATGCCACTGGGGGCCAGTGATTCCACCTTTGCAAAAGCAACTGGCATATCAAGAGCCTCTGAGAAGGTTTTTTTGCTTCGGTTTTTTAGAAGTAATAATTCTACTTCTCTGCTTAAGGAGCTAAGGATGGTGTATAGATGTTGACCTCAATGTTACTTATCATAGTGAAAGATGGAAATAATCTAATTACTCAACATATGAGTGGTTAAATAAATTACGATGCATTTCCAAAATACAATAATGTCTACACAGAATCAAATTTGTAAAGATGATCTACCGACCTATGAGAATATTCTTCATAAGCAAAGAAGCAAGATAACAGACTTTATTTTTTGATGTGGCCAATTTTGTTTTAAAAATGCATGATATTTTAGCCGTTAGGATTTTATTTTTATTTTGCTAGGAATAGACATAGACTCAAACTGGCTCAAGTAAAGAAAATGTATAGTCTCATGGAGGGCACATGTCAGGCTCTGAATTGGTTCACGAAGCAGGTCGACATTTCCTCCAAGGACCCGGTTGCCTTCTTGAATGTCTCTGTCACCCTCAGAGCCACTTCCACCACAGGCAAGGGGCCCCACGAGGACCCAGGGCTGCCCAGGGGAGGCACGGGCCCCTCTCTGCACGCTCACCCTCTCCTTGCTCCTGTCTCTCTGCCCCTCCCCACCCTTCTCTAGATTGCGGAGATTGAGGGGCGCGGGTTTTTCCTGACAGCGCATCTGCAGCCCCATATGCTGTAGACCTGAACTGAGTAGTGTCGGCCCCTGAATCGAGCCCTGGGGAACCGAGGCTGTACTCAGCCCTTGGGGAGCCGATTCTGCTCTCCAGGTATTGGGTTTCCGAGGTAGGGTCTTGCAGAGGAGGGCTGGGCCCTGACCATGACTGCCATTCAGTCGGGGACCACAGGGCCAAAGACACTGTGCAGCCAGCCACCTGTGCTCATCTCGGTCGGCGCCAGCCCTCTTGATCCAACACTGGGACAAGTCTGAGGGAAGAACGCGCCTGGGCACGGAGGGGTCTTCAGCCGGGATTTTGGCTGAGATCTGAATCCATGCACAGCGTTTCCAAGCTCATGGCACAGAGAGTCAAATGCAGTGTGTGAACCAGCTAGGGTGTGCCTCCGAGGACAGTCTCTGCCTGGCTGGGAGGACCTGCCTGGACTTGTCCTGGAATGGGGCTTGTTACGGTGACGGGACTGAGGGAGACCCCGGGTGAGGACTGTGGGGGTGCGGGAGGAGCAGATGCTTCGTGATTTCCATCAGCCTCAGGTAAAGTTCACCTGGCGAAGCAGGCTGGAGACTTGACGGCCTTGATATCATGAGAAGAACGGGTCTGATGCTGTCCATGACTCTGCAAACCTGTCTGCTCTCTGAGTTCTCGTACTGCAGGATCCCAGGGGGCCCCAGGAACCAGAAGGAGGAGTCCTCTCACAAGCACCCTGAGAATCCATTCTTGTATTCCATAAGCATTTTAACCATTTAATAAAATAGCTAAATGTGTTCGTTTCCTGAGGTTGCTATAACCAGTTCCAGAAGTTGAGTGGCTTAAAACAGCAGAAAGCCAGGTGTGGTAGTGTAATCAGGGCACTCTGAGAGGTTGAGGCAGGAGGATCACAAGTTTAAGGCCACCCTGGGCAATTTAGTGACTCAGTGAGATCCTGTCTCAACAACAACAACAACGAAACCCCCAAAAGCAAAACAGCTGCAGACATTCATTGTTGCAGACGCTAGAAGTCTGAACCAAGGTGTTGGCAGGAGTTACGGTTTAGATCAAGAACGGCCTCCAAACTCTCCTGTGCTGGGAGGCTGGGCTTTTGCAAGATCACTGGGCACTGCAACTAAATATGCCGTTGGGAGGCGGGGCCTGATGGAAGAGGCGGGCACTGGGGGCGTGGCCTGGAAGGCAGCGTCTCCCTCTGCGCTCCTCCCTTCTCTCTTTCTGGGGCCTGTGACCTGAGCAGCTCTCCTGCACCGGGCCTTTCCGCCGTACCCGCCAGCTGACTATGCACTGCAGCCTCTACGAACTGAGCCTCAAAGCCTCTCTACGTTGGGGACGTGGGACACTATGTTCCAGGGAGGAGAAAGTGACTAGGACAGCAGGACCACGTGCTCTTTCTGCGGCTGGAAAGAGAGAGCTCCTCCCCCCTTCCTGGTGCTTGACACCAACCCATTGCTCCAGACTCTTCCACTCCACGCGTTGTTCCTGTGTCTCCACACATCTTCCCCCTGTGTGCATTCCTGTCCAACCTCCCTTTCCCATGAGGATACCAGGCCTACTAGATAAGTCCATAGCCCTGGGCAGGCACAGACCTCTCAAGTTCTAAGTATTCTGTGTACACCTGCTGATATAATTTTCATGAAAGCCCTCGGAGCAGTTCCCATGCTTGCTTTTAGAGGGAGAGACCGAGTCTTGAAGATATTTATTAACCAGGCCAAGGTCTCACACTTAATAAGTGGCAGTTGTGGAATTCAAACCACCCAGTCCTAGTTGAGAGCCCGTGGTGCTAACAACACAGCGAGCTGCCTGTTTGGTGTGTTTTATGGCACACTCCCGTCCTGGGTCATGGGGGCCGTGTTGTTTCCCAGAGCGGGGAGTTGAAGGAGACCCAGGGAAGCAGCCACACAAACCAGGCAGGTGCATGGAAGGGACAAGGAAGAGACAGGAGTGGAGAGCAGAGAAGCAGGACCTGTGTACCCTTCACTTACTCATTACCCAGGTAGGAACTGGTAACTAGATGGTGATGAGACGTAGTAATATGGAAGTAAATTCGAAAAATTCTTTACAAAAGGGTGCTATAAATAAGGTAAAATAAAACATATTTTCGAAGAGAATCCCCATCAATTCATTTGACACATTGGCTGCCTTCTCCCTGAATGAATGGCATGCTGATCGAGCAACGCAGTCCCTCTCAGCAGCTCTGTCTCCTAGTGGGACAGGGAGAGAGACTGGTGGGAAGCATTTGCATGACTATGTACCAGGATTGTCCATATCTGCCTGAGTTTATGTCTCAGCCATCACTGAGGCCTCCCAGCCTTCTGATAATAAGGGAGGTGCTACTGTCCCCACGTCCCAAAAGGAAGTCCCTCCCAGAAGTGCAGCAGTGTGCCCCAGGTTACACAGCTGGCCCTGAGCAGGGTGGAGAGTTCAGGCCTAGCCCTCTTTCCTTTAGCCACAAAGTAGGACAGGAGGAATGTCTAGGAGAGATACAAACAAAGCCTCTCAGAAGGTGCTGCTGCACCCTCCCTCAGCCCACGGACGTTGGGAAACACACCATGATAGAGGAACAAGGAAAGCCCAGACCCTGGGCTCTGTCCGGGGCAGGATGTATCTTTATTGGTGGTCACTTCATACAACTGGGCAGGAGATCTGAGACCACAAAGGGCAGATAGCACCCTGTGCACAGCAGGGAGATGACAAAAAGGGGTGAATGAATTACGGTTGGTACTTATGATACCTGCATGGCCCCTGTGATCTCAGCGTCTTTGCAATGACCGGAAGTCAGTTCCAGTCATCTGTTTTATGGAAGGGAACAGGAAGCTGAAGGAGGCTGAGCTTTTCACCCAGTGTCGCCTAGCTGCCAACCGCAGCCCTGCCAGGCTCTCCGGACAGTGCGATGGGCTGTGTGGCCCATAAATGATCCCTTGCTCCTGTCCCACCATCATGGACCTGTGAACGCGGATGATAACACAGAAGTTAACCGAAGTGAAAATGTATGAAGAAACCCACATTTTAATATTTTTGCAAATAAATTGGGGCCTATGGTCTGGAGAACCCAGGTGTGTCCAAATCTCATCTGAGACCAGTTACATCATCTTGTAAGTGGAGTGTGTGGCCAGGGGAGGAAAGCGGTGTCTGTGATGTGCTGGAGCTTTGTCCTAACCTCCAAGTGCAAGTCCAGGGAGGTGGATGGGTGCAGGTCAGGGCTCAGCCTACTGTTTGGTAAAGGAAAAGGTAGTAAATCGTTGAGCCTTTGGAGCCCAAGTTGGCTCTGTTGGGTGAACTCAGCCCTGCAGCAGGAGCACAGAAGCTGCCATAGGCAATATGCAAATGAGCGGGCATGGCACTTCCAATAAAACTTTATTTGCGAAAACCTGTGTTGGGCTGCCTTTGGCTCCAAAGCCCATCCTTGAGTCAGAGCTTGTTTCTCCTCTGCAAAGATAGCAAACAAAACCGGAGCAGCAAAACTCTGTTAGCTCTCCAGCTCAGAGCAGAGCTTCAGGAAGTCCCTGCAGCGTGAGGAGGAGCAGCCCCTGCAGACCAGGGGGATGCAGAGCCAGGGGCATGAGAGAGAGAGCACGGGATAACTCAGAGAAGAGTCAGAATTTTGGTGATGATGGGTTGTGAGTACCAGAGGACAGGGAAGAACGTTCTCTAGAAATCTAGAAAGATAAGCAAGTAGTGAGATTAAAGAATATTCTTTCTTAGGTGGGAATGAGTCCACATGATAAGAGGTAACATGCAGAGAACCTTAGAATCCCGCTGTGGCTGGCCTGAGCCAAAACACAGGACAATGTGGATTTCCAGGCCCTCTGTGGTGACGCCGGGGCATTTTCCCGTGTGTGTGTGTGTGTGTGTGTGTGTGTGTGTGTGTGTGTGTGGCAGGGGGGGTTGATGGGTTGATGGGTCCAAGCCTAAGCGCCAGCTCTGCCAGCCTAGCTGTGTCACTGAAGGAGATTATTCAAACGGATGGCTCATCAGCAACTTTATGGAAACAGACCCTAGTGCAACAACCACCTTCACACCATAGAGCTTAAGTAGATGCAGGGTGAGGTAGACTAACAGGCGGTATTCGGGACAAGAAGAGAGGAACAAGAATCCAACCGTCATAAAGACGAAGGCTTTCTCCCACAAGAGGTACATAAAGGAAAATAAAGAATGGCTGAAGACATAATCAGGAGTGTGACAAAGATTAGAAGGAGTCATTTAAATAAAACATTCAAGGACAGAGGGCAACGTGGATTAGAAATAAAACGATAGCAATGGAGGGAGGACAGAGGAAGCAAAACATACATGTAGTGAATGTTTCTATTTTGTTTAAAACACAAACATATCTTTTTAAATAAAATAGGAAAATAATAAAAATATAATTTATGTAAAATATAATAAATATAAATATAATATAAAAATATAATTTATATAAAATACAATTTATTAAAGGTTTCCAGAAGTTAGAATCTATCTATCATCTATCATCATCTGCCTGTCTGTCAATCACCTATTTTCTGTCTCTCTTCCATCTATCTGTATTGTCAAAGGGACTGGCATCCCTGGGAGACTTGGCCTAGGGTGGTCAACCACAAGAACCGATTGGTTAGGTTTACTGGACTTCGAAGGCAGGAATCAATTCTTTACATCATTGAGAAGGCATCAACAGCACAACAGCATCAGCAGAAAGGTCTCAGTCTTCTCCAGCGATTTGCAGTGGCACGGTCCTTACAGAACCTTTAAGGGGAAAACGCTGTGGTAGAGGGTATTGTTATGCTGCTGAAGTGTGCACATGAAGGCAGAAGACTGACGTTCTTGGGTGAGCAGTGACTCAGGACACGTCCTCGGGGCCTGAGGAAGCCACTGGAATTTGGACCTCAGGACAGGAGGAGGGAAGTGGAACTCAGGTGCTCAGTGGGCATGGAGCCACCTGACTCCAGGACCAAGGCTGAAGCAAACTGGGATCCTGGAGGCAGAACAAAGCCACACGAACCCTCCAATGTGGACATGATTCGCTTAAGAGCTGGAGAGAAAGGAGGTGGGAAGGTGGAAACGGTGCATTATCTGCTGCCTTCTTCATCTTCTATGGCCAAAGGTTGCTAGACATCACTTAAAGCTGATAAATCATGTAACAGGGATTTCAAAAGCACAGTTATCAACTGAAATCGGAGGTAATGAAAAGGAAGGGGAGGCATGAGAACAGGAAGACTATTTAGCTTGTCAGTTCAGGGCAAGAGGTTAGTCGACACTGGCTAGAGAAAGTAGCAGGCATCAGAAGTGGGCATCATCAGGCACAGTAAACCGACAAGCACTAGGACCATGGGGATGAGAACTTTGCAGGACGCACTCCAGCAGAAGCATCTACATGCACAAGTTTTGCACAGGGAAATTGGATTTCCTCTGGGAAGAGTAAGGGCTGGGTGAGCCCAGGGCTTGAGCACTGGCATGGAGACCAGTGCGCTCGAGGCCCTGAACTCTGCCTCAGCAAAACAAACAACAGCGAAACAACTGGGCCAGTGAGCAGCGCTCGCTGTGATGGTTCAGGGTAGGAAATGGCTTGCCCTCGCTTGAGCTTTCCCTCCCGGAAGGAGCTCCCTTAGCTCTGCTTCGGCCTCTCGGCCTCTTTGGGCACCAGCTCTAGGCAGGGAAGAGATTTCTCTCTGGGGCGTATTGAAGAGCAGCACAGGGACCCACTTCACTCAGCTCCTCCTGTTTCTCCTCAGAGTGTAGGTGCTAAGGGGTCCTGGGGCAGGGAGTCTTCCATGTGCCTGGGCTGCTGGAGAGCTACTGGCGT